TTGGGGGTTGGGGGTTGGAGGTTGGGGGTTAGAAAAACTGAGTATATGCAGAAAATATCACAGGTTAAGCCTGCGATTTGTTATCACGTTTTTGATGATATGCAAACATAGGAAAACCTGCTGAATCCTAATGTACCAGACATGCAAAGCCAAGTATTTTTAGACCAATCAAAGTTCAACTTTTGGATTCAGTCTTGTGTCAAATGTCAAATTCTCAGACAATCTGAAGACTATAAAATCAAATGTTTAATTATAAATTTCATTTTTCATTCTTTGAGAGAGTGGTCAACCTGTTTCAACTGCTATACACCAGGGGATCTCGGGTTTTGCAAGTTGTTGAGTGTGCTGTGTGTTGCCCCTTAACAAAGTGTCTAATTAATATTGTTTACCCCTTTTGACAACTTTGTAATGGGTTTCAACTGATTTGACCAATCAAACTCTAATACATTAGGAGGTGGAGTTGACATTGCAAGGGTTTGATTACCTGCACACTGTGACTAAGCCCCTCCCACTTCTTGCCTTGAATAGATAGAAACCATTAGACAGTTGTCACAAAGAGGTCAAAAATATAATTGATCATTCATGGTATGGTGCACATTGCTGCAAACAAATAGTTATTGTTTTCCCAATATCTTTCATTGGTTAGATAAAAAACAGCAGATATGTCATGCATGTTGCACATTAACAGGGACTCCAAAACCCAAACTTCAGGTATTTTAAACGTTTACTGCGCCTTTCAATAACATGCGGACTCTAAAATTCATAGCTCAATTGACAAATGTGTTTTTCACTACCGTCAATCAAATGTTTGGCGGTTCCTCCCAGCTTCAGACTACTGCCGAGCGCGCAGTAATCAAATCATCGAGCCTCATGATATGAAACATCTCATGATACGAAACAGGCTCTGCAGTAGTTGGCAGCTGGGAGGAGCCGCCGAACATTTGATTGATGGGAGTGAAAAATGCATTTGTCGGTTGAGCTTTGAATTTTAGAGTCCGCATGTTCCTGAAAGGCACAGTAACACAAATACATCATACAGCATAACTGGAAATCCCACAAAATTAAGAACCAGAATTAGGTGAAAGGGCATGTTTATAGCTGCTTCGCAAAAGTTTGGCCTGCAAAAGTGTAAAAGAATATGCCACAGTAGTGAAAGGTATTATCGGAAATAGAATTTTTTTTCTGTTGATCTTAGTCTATGGTGCTTGAACCGGATAGAGGAAAAATGAACCATGAATACATATATATTCATGGATCCTTCTTCCTTCACTCTGAAAGGCCATAAACTTCAAACAAGCAACAGTAAACTATCACTACCTATAAAACCTCTCGGCATTATTATATACTCTTTCAAGCTTCTGTAGAACAACTTTTTTCAAAACAGATGTCTATAGCCCAGGAACAAGACAGCAGTCAGGCGCTAAAACCACATGTCACACAAATCCATTAAAATGCTATCATACTAAACATATTCCTACATAGAGTAATGAACTTTCCAATCTTTTCCCAAGAGCTGAAGGAAGAACCTTATAACGTGCAAGTCAGCATTTAGAAAGATTGATGAAAGCAATCAATGAAATATGAAGGTACTGAATTCTGAATGCATGAGCCGTTAAATTTAATGACTATTGGAACTATTGGGGATTTTGTCCTAACATACCAACAAATTTACAGAGCTTAAGAAAAACAAGACATCCAGTTACCTAATTACTAGCAACCGACTGAAAAAGTGCAGTAGTAGGCAAAACAAAAGTGATACGAATATTGTTGATCAAGAATTCGCTAAATCTGTACATGTAACCAATGTCCATCGACACATATTTTAGGCAAAATTTAAGAGAACTAAAACAGAGTTTTAAAAAAAACACCTAGGTCATAGGAAACTGAACAGTACTGCTCTGTTTTATACTGCTGGAAAAAAAATTGACAAATGGCACTGAAGCACATAAGTCAGCGAGAAATTGCTGTCTTATATTGACAAGGTCGTAAACACGGAAATGTATGTTATGGACATACCTGAAAACAATACACTCAAATTTCAAGTTTGGTTTAAATTATGTTACATAGCATTATATTGGAGAACATTGTGTTGATTTCCGTCATTCTGACAAAACTAGGGAATGTAAAACTTTTAACCCAGTATTTTCCTTAAAAAGGACAGAACATTCCTACACTGATAAGGAAGGCAGCAAAGTTCCTTTAGCAATTTGGGAATGAGGAAGAAACTCTGCAACGCATACCATTAAAGATTCACCTGATACACCAGGAAAAATTGTTTGAAGATAATTTGTTGAAAAGGTGCCAGGCTGAAATGAACAAGTTCAAAGCTGAGACTACACATTGTAACAGGCAATTTTTTTTTTCTATGAGGCATGCCTACGAGGAATCATGGTAGTTCAATTTGTTACAACAATATTCAGTCCAAGATGATGAATACAACTACCATGATTCCTTGCAGGCACATCTCATAGATGTAATTGGCCATTTGTAGGTTCAGTGAAATTGATAGAACTTTTGATTTTTCTTCCCAAATATCCCAAGAAAATCCTGGTATGGATAAAAACCAAAGAAACCTTTATTTTACCTCGAATTATAACAGCAATGTTGTAACAGCTTTTCATTACCGTTTGGAAAGCACAAAGCCATCTTGCAAAAACACACTTTTCTTACATACTCAACTCCAAGAATTCTTTATATAAATAAAAGCTGTGAAAAATAGCAAACTATTTTTAAAAGCTTGAAGTGGACTCCTCCAAAGATAGTCTGTGACAAGTGCTCTATAATATCAACGTTCTGATATGGTGTCATAAAAAGAATAACATGCAACAAAGACATATACAGTAAACAGTTATTAAATTCTAATGGATCCACGTAATGTGGAAATTGAATGAACATTTCCCTTTAAATATTTACTATAACCTTAATCAGAATAAACTCTAACTCAAGCATGCAAGAAAACATGTAAGCTTCTATTCCACTTCAAAATATTATTTTTTTATAGAAACAGAAAATTACGTCTCACAACTTTTTAAATACGGAAGTGATGACAACCCGTTCACGCTATCGTCTTCAACGTATTTATGACACGAACAAGAAACACCCTACATAAGAGTCTCAAAACTAGCGCGAAATACTTTATTAGTTCCTGCGTGATCTGGGTTAATGAAGACGTGCGTCATGTAACGCTCATTGTGACATATGGTTTGTAAATCAAGTGGACAAATAGGTCTCCAACAATCAAATCCCATTTGATCTCACAATGGAATCTTCCTTTTTCAACATAAACAGAGACCTCGAGTCACGTCTCGAGCAAAGTGAGCAAGAGAAACGCCTAGTCAACGCAACATTAGACTTACTGCTTCTATTGTTTCGCAAGGGAAAGTAATTTCCGGGCGAGCTGAACAGAGGATATTGAAGCCATTTCACATCGTGCTGTTTATGATGTCGATTTCACTTTCGATTGGTACAACAATTTGGACCTTTGGCTAAATTCTTTGTGGTAAAAAATTAAAAAAAAGATTCCCATGAAGCAAAGAAAGACACTCGATAGCGTGTTGTACCCGAATGGTGACCTTGTGAAGACACACTCAACCTTCGACACAAAAGGATTCCAGCACACAAAAGAACCCTCAAGCATGAATAATCGTTCCAGTGAAACAACAATTACTGACATGCTTTAAAAAACAACTTCAAAGAAAATGCAGCCGTGCGTTAAACAGCTCTTAAATGAGCTGAAGCATCCCTGAAAACAAGTTTTGTTTTCTACACAACGCCCGTTAATTGCCCAGTTTATGAAACAAAACGCCGAAATCAAAACAGCAGATCAGTAGCTTAACAATGGCAGGTAGGGGCGCATTGTTCTTTAATAAAGCAGAGGGAACCGACCTTTAATGAAAAATTAAACGACATATTTCTTGCTGATTGCTTTTTGATGCCTAAGGGACAAAAATGAGATCGAGTTTTAGCGTTTTGAGCTCACTTTCAGAGCGATGTGTTTACCAGGAGAAGAAAATTTCAAAGATGAACATAATCACTTTTTCTTCGTTGAAAATGTATTCACAATTCACAGGCTTCCTTTAGCTAGGCAGGAAATATGTTACGCCAAAGGAATCCAGACTACCCTAAATACCCTACGAAGGAACTTTCAAGATGACGGTAGATAAACTCGCGCATTTTTAGCTTGCCGTATGCCATTTCCACATTCAGTAGGCGCAAACAAATATAACCAGAGCCAATATTAAAAAGTTGTGTACATAAATTGTACACAGCTTTAGACAAACTGTGTAGAGACCAGTTCATGCTCAAGAGTTTTAGCTACGCTTAACGGGAAACGGGGAAACAGTTCGCGAGGAATAAGTTTACATCCATGCCTACCTTCGGTTTAGCCGTAAAAGATGCGAGACCTCCGTGCAAATAGAAATTGCTCCCGTCAATCCACGTTTTCTTGCAGTCGCACCCAGGACAATTGCCACAGCTTGTCTGGCTACTTCTCTGTCTCCATTCAGGTATTGAACAGCTTCTCCTAAAAAAGAAAAAAATTGGTTCACGTAGTATTAGACCTGAACCATTTGCGGCTTTCGCGAGATTTTTATCTTATTTCCGCCCACAAACATGCCCAGAAAAACTTTCAAAATTTTTTTAGCTTTACCTAACAAACGTTCTTCGTTCGAAGGCGATGAAAGACCCCATGAAGAATCATTATCACTTATCCTTGGTTTCGCACCTCCACAAGTTCTGTGATGAGTCTTTTTGTGACTTCTTTCCGAGTGTCCACTTCCACCACTACTCGTCGCGTCGGCCATGATTTTCAGAACGTGACTACCGTCTTTCACAGCTCAGGCTTGTTAATATTCGAACCATATCATTGACGAGGTTAACGCAAAATCCTCACAAAATAGTAACCAAAACGTGTTGTCAGCATACCAGGCAACCTCCTAATGTACAAACCAAAGACTTTTCAAAATCTGTGATGCTAACTAAGTGAAGCTCCCAAGTGATTTGAAGTCACTTGGCCTATCAACTTTTTTAAACAAAGGCGTTTGAGCCCGCGGTACAGCATGTGACATTCACACACACTCGACTCTGGCTATGGCAGGTAAGGTTATTTATCAATTATTTATCTCAATATTTCATTCTAAATCGCTGTTTCTTTTTGAATCAACAATCAAGATATCTTAAACTTTAATCAAGAGGTTAGTTCAGCAAGGCCTAGAGAAATAAACCTGGCAAATTTCCCTTGAAATTTTACTTTCGGATTCGCAAGTTTGCAGTTTGGCAACGGGCATGCAAAAGCTCAATTTCAAGAAATCATGCTCAATTTGACAAACAACTTTCTTGTTAACCTGGGGGAATGCTGCAGTTAATATTCATGCTATATGCGAAAACTAATAACAGTACCGTAGAGACAGTAAAATATATTTAATCATCCCCATTGAAGAGACACTGTTAATACACAAAATATCTTCATGTGCATGCCTGTATTAGCTGAAGGTTGTTGTCAAATGCACTCTGCTTATCGTATTTTGCATATTATAAGCACGTGATTATAATTAATATGAAGGCTAATATAATAAAGACAGTATTGCTGTTTTATGCGGGCAATCATGTTGACAGAATATTTCATACCCAGGAAGGTTTAAAAATTTGTTTGGGATTTTGTAACTGGGGAAAGGTGATTATGCTGTTTGTAAGTCGAGAAGTCTGTGGTTGGCAGGGGCTTTCGAGGAAACATTCACAAGAACTACAATCAAAGCCAGTTTCTCCTTACCCAGTCTCTACAGTGTATTATTAAGTAGACAGGCAACTTAACAGGAATAAAGAAAGTCAATCAAATAGGAGAACTTAAGATCTCTTGGTCTAAATCATCAGTTCATATTTTGGTAACTGGCCGTTTAGCCTCCAAGTCGATTAGCCCCTAACCATTTAGCTCCCAACCAGAAGTCGAAATTCGGTGTATTTCTCGTTCTTTAAGCATGAATGGGGCCTTATCGTCTTCTGGTTGGGGTCTAATTGGCTAGGGGCTAAATGACTGGTAACCAATATTGTAACTACATGTATAATGGAATGTGTTAAAGATCCTCCTGATTTAGGTTGAGTTCACAGCTTAAGCTACCTGACAAGTGTTGCTTATAAAGTGGATCAACAAAAACTGAGATGCTCTTGTCAGGATAAAATGAGACAAGACATAACATGAAGACATGTGACAGTGCTTGACATAAACTTGTATCAGATAACATATCTATGGCCAATTTATGAACCTGTGATTTCCTTCTAGGATGCAAAATATAGAACTGAGAAATAATAGCAGACAGTTTTAAAATACAGCTTATTACATGGGACCCCTTGCGAGGTTGTGGAAAATACAGTTAATTGTTTTGTGTATGATTATTTTAATAATTATAATGTTTACATACATGTACCATTGCACATAAACTCAAACAGTGATTCCTTGAGGGTATCACAAATTTATCTCAGCTATCTACATGCCAATGTGACAGAATGAGACCTTTTATCTCACCCTGATTGATCAGGTAGTGATGAATCTAGGGTACTTACCATTTACATGGGAAAACCGGAAATTCCAGTTGGAAAATCAAATGGTTCNATGTCGCATTTAATTGTTTAATGTTTATGCCTGAAATTTCCAACCGGATGGTTTTTGTAAATGCTAAGCACCCCTAATCTACTGGTGCACTGATTTACAAGTTTCTGTTTAATTTACAATATTTGTTTGCTTATTTCAGTGTCCTCAATTAGTATAACAGTGCTAAACACTTGATTTACTGTAGTTTTATTCATTTATTATTTATATGCATGTATGATAAAATGTAATGCAAAACCTACATAGTACACGACCGCTGCACTGACAAAAAGATGAATATAAGTAATTATTATGTGGCTAGCTCCGTGAGCGGGCAAGATGAATCAAATCCTGCACTGTGATTGGCTACCCAAGCGGGCAAGATGGAGCTATCTTGCCTGCTCGGGACTACTTGCCACGTCCCGCAAGAAACATTTCTCTGAAAGCCATATAATAAATCCTTTATTGACCAAGCTTGTTCGGTCAAGATGGCTGGATATTGGCCTCATTCTTTTTTTGCGAGATTATGGACCTCGACTCCGTCTCAGTCCATAATCACGCAAAAAAAGAACTTGGCCAATATCCAGCCATCTTGACCTCACACTTGGTCAATAACCCATACATATTCCTTACTTGATCTGACTTGCAGAGGACAGCGAGTAATAACTGCCAGTCCGTGTTTGCTACACTGATTACATATCTCTCAGATCTGAGATCACCCAGTTGTAAAGGAGAACCTTTGTTTACAATATTTGACTCATTACCATAAGCGATACAGTTTCTGATGGAGCTACAAAGAGATTAATACTGAATATTGAAAGGGCACAGTACGATTAACTGTCCCAAGGAATTTGAGCGTGATGTATTGAATACTTTTTGTGCGACATGGGTTTAAAAGCTCAAAATTTTACAAAGAATGTATGAGCTCATTAGCGCTTTTGCCCCACAGAAATGTTGATGTTTTTGAAAGCCAATTTCTCCTCGAATATTACACCAAAAGAGCCAAAAATTTCACCACTTAGTAAGTTTCATGAGCTCTTTAAGTTTTGCTAGTAAAACCGTGTGTAGCATGATGCCTTCTATGCGCAAAGTCATATGTTAATGAGGAAAAATGTGACGTCAGCAAAGATTCGCCTATGTTACTTAGCTGCAAAATATTATTAACTTCAACTTCACTTTATTTTGCACTTACATTTTGAAATTACAATATTAGCATAAAAAAAAAGAAAAAAAGATACATATATAACAATTAAAGGTGATGATGGTATATAGTTTATGTGTAGAGGCCAATAGAACTGCGAGGTTATCAAGTTAGCCTCCATCTCATTTGAGTGAAAATAAAAAAACATGGGAGTAGAAGGACAGATTACTAAAGGAAAGAGCTAGAAGAATTGTGGAAACTTACATTTGATATTGCTAAGATAGAACATAGTTTTTAACACTTTTGGAATTGTGGAAACTTACGTTTGATATTGCTGAGATATTAGAGAACGCTGCATTCAGTGACACTTATACTTAGAGTACCACAAATGAAATTCATGTCCATTTCTCAGCCTGATCAATTATAATCTCTAGGTTAATTACTGTTGCATTTATTCTTGTCGCTCTAATCTTGCGTGGATCTTGTCATATTCAAGCCAGTTGTTATTAAAAAGAAATGATGGGCTTGTAAATTTTGATAAACTGAAGAGAGCAGTCAGCTTCTCTTTGTCTGAATCAGTTACCACCACGGGAGGCTTACAAGTAACTTGGTTTGTATCTATCTGCTGCTGCCAACACCTCATGGGAGGGGGGAGGGGTACTCCCATAAAAATTGGGTAGGGGTGTGCGGCCCGCTTCTCAAAAGCCTTACCCTATTTATGACCAAAATCTGCGATATTCCCTACCCTATTTGTGACTTGACCCTTAAATCAATACCCTGTTTTAGACCTGCCTTATAATTAGTTCCCTAGTTAAGACCAATGTTAAATTGCTGTAATCAGAATTTGTGAAGGGCTTTTGTTCATGGTCTTATCGATAATGATAAAAAAGTAGCTTCTTCTAAAAAACATACCCAATTTAAGACCAAGTGTTAAAACCATACCCTATTTAAGACCAAAATGGCCAAAATCAATACTCTATTTAGGACCAAAATGGCTGAAAAACCATACCCTTTGGGGCCACACATACCTATACAGCTGATATAAGGGAGTAAGCCCCGGATGACACATACGTGCGAACATGCTCATCTGTTTATCAGTAGTGGGAATTAGTTTAGCAAAATATATTGGTTATGGACCAAGCATGAGGTCAACTAATTAGATGGCTGAACATTAGCCAAGTTCTTTATTTTAAGGTGTCTGTGTTTTTAACGGAACTCAGTCAAGATCCACAAACATGTAGAAAGAATAAGTCTGATATCTGGCCATCTTGGCCAAAAAAGCGTGGTTACTAAAGAATTGATATGTTATATGACGAACACTATTTTCTTGTGGGATGCCATCTAGCCCACTTGGGTAGCCAGTAACAGTGCAGGTATTGGTTCATGTTGTCTACTCATGGAGCTAGTTTATAATAATTAGTACTGTTTTGTGTATTTATTTTTAACATGTACAGATGGTGCAATTTGGCCAAGCTTTTCAAGGTTTTCGTTTAGTATGCATTTTTTTCAAACATATTTTTTAACTTACAAACTACAGTAATGTTTTTGTGCATACCTCCTTATTGCGTTGCACAACTGACTGATTGTTTAGCAAATTATCAATCTGTTTATCTAGTAACTGACCACTGTATATGTTACTGGGCACGTACTGCTGGTAGTGTTAATGCTTGTCGTGCTTTCTGACGTTGCTCATTATTTTACCCTTTGAACTCTGCAGGTAATGTGTTAGTAACTAAAGTTAAACGTGATACTAAAATATGATCTGTGTACAAAAACTAATTATGACATGAAGTCACAAGTCAAAGAAATGATTGACATCAAATAATGCCGACCCTCTTTACAGACTAGCAAGTTTTGAATGTTTGGCAATTTGTGACTCTGATCTACCCGATCAGGAATTTGAGACCTTTTGTTGTGAAATGCATGGTTATTAATCTCTCCAGATGATGAAGTTGTTGTTTCCAACAAGCTGAATTGTTAAAGATGCTATTTTACACAAGCTTGATCTTTTGTAAACAACAACTTTTATTTGTAAGTTTAACTGTTAGTGATCATTGTTTACATGGTGAAGCTGTGTTGCCCTTTTATTGTTAGTTGCTGCTTATTATAAAAAAAAAAAACTGCTCAGGAATGATGTACATATACTATTTATAAAGTAATCACAAAATGTTTGTGATTGTTGAATATCTTGATTTCTAGATAGTTGCAATATTGTTAGCTTGAAATGTCAATCATCTTCTGCCATCAGCCCAATCCTGGGCACCAGGGATTTTTGACATTTCAAGCTGCAACATTGAAATTAATTCTTTTAAAAAATCAGAGGGCAATGCAGGTCTTCTGCCATTTTTTTTTTGGATTGTGATCATAGCTTTTGATAACCTTGTTGCCTGTTGCTGCCCCACTTATGAAAGAACATTGTGGGATTTTGCAGATGTGATACAAAACAGTTCAATGAATAATCATAATTTTTAATTATTCACAGTTCTAGAATCATGTCGAGCAAATGCAGACAATTTATTCAAGATCACATATCACTCCAAGAAATGACACTTGTATCGAATCACCTTTTAGAATGTTGTAACTCTCATTACATTATGAAATCTGGAACTTTTGTGTACAGCGTATGTGTGATGACTAAATGTGGAAAGCTAAAAAATTATGTGGTTTTAACTGATATCCCCAATTTACTGACATATCTCGTTAGGATTTAAAATAGTAAGTTGAGAGATGTTTCACTTTTTGAACTGTTGTGTTGTTTATTAGATTCCGCTCATTTATCAAAGTCAGCCTTGAAGAACAAGAAAAGGGCAGAGAAGAGAACGAAGGCTAGAATAGAACAAATTAAAGAAAATGGTGGCACCTTGGAAGCAATCGAAATGAAGGATCCAGTCGCTGTATTGAGAGAACAGTTACAAGAAGCCAAAGACAATAAGGTATGTGTTGCATCTGAATGATTGAATTCTAATTGAAAGAAATGAAAAAAAA